ACACGCGGCAGGTGATGATTGGATAACGAGCCGCGCCGAACGAGAAAAGGCTCGACGAATGCATCTTTTCGCTTGGCTTCACTGTCGCCGGCAAAGGATTTTACTCCGTGGCGGGAATGGATAAAGTAAATAAAAATAAAAATATCTCTTGACTCTGCCGGTTCGTATCAAACTCAAATTACTGAGATCCGACCCGATTCAATTATTAAACGGGTTTAAAATCTGACCCGTTTGAATACACTCGCTTCGTCCGACCAATAGGCTCGGACGGAGGCTTCTCAGTTTTCCCCATCAAAGTCAGGTAAAATCGGATTGGATATGTAAAACTACTAGTAAAAAATGTAATTCTATGTAGAGGGGTCAAAGTCATTCGGATATCGGATAAAGTACGGATCGTTCATTGATCTTTTAACTATATGAACTAACCCTAATTTATCCGATATACGAATGACTCCGACAGTCCAACCCGGTTCCCTTTACTAAAAATGATCTGGTCCATATATTTACCCGCTAAAAAGTTAGTATACAAAATCGAGTGGATCATTTCAATTGTATCTCCTTTCGAAAATTTTGAGTAACTCAGGGTAAATAGAGTGACCCAAACCAAAATGCATATGCCTTGTTGTCATATGCTAAGAAAGTGTTCAACCAGAGTGCAATTAAAAAATAGTGTTGAATCGTAGTAATAGATTTGTTGATCGAAATAAAACTATGCACAAGACCAAGAAACTGCAAATGTTTTTTTTCCCCTAACTTCAAGTAAGCAAGAAGCTTCCCAACCGTAACAAACATAACGTTTTTCCCTTCCCGTGGTTCAATGACATGGTCTCAAATTTAGAGGCCCCCACACACAACAACCATTTACCCTGGATTTTTTCAAATCGACGCCCTGTTGGGTCAAGTTAGCTTGGCTAGTAACTACTTTTACTCGTCAGTACCGAAGTAGCGATCACCAAACTCACCCAAGCCTGGTATAACCCGGAACTCTTCGTTAAGACACTGGTCTATTTCCGATGTCACAATCTTCAACTTTGGAAAACGTTTGCAGACACAGTGGATCCCTTCTGGAGCCTGTAGGATGCAGCATCGGATGTGAGTTTTTGATTGAGAGATATAGAGAGAAGGCAATATCTTTTGGTTGATATTACACTCACCGAGATGAGATTGAGGAATATAATGTGGGATTCAGGTACTCCTTTCTTAATGAGTAGTTCAATCGCCTGATTTGCAGAGTTACCTTCAAGATATGCAATGGAAGGTTTAAGAGAATGTAACACTTCAAAGCAAAAGAAGAAACTGAATTTACCTGTCCCCAAAACGGGATCTAGAAGCAGTACATGTCGTTCAGAGATGTCACTTGGAAGCTTCTCATATATAAGCTGATCCATATGCGGCGAGTAAAAACGTTTTTAAGTTTCTGAGTTTTAGAAAAGACGCATGATATTTGTAACCTGTTAAAGGAGTTTAAAAGACATAAACAAACCTGCATTCCATTGTCGCCATCACGATGGATGAGGATCTTCCCTATTTTAATCCCTTTGCAACACGCGCGTAATGCGTTTTCCATGCTTTCGCCACTAATAAAGCGTACAAAACAGAATTTTAAGCAAGAGAAAATAATAAAAAAGGCACTCAACACACAAACAGACAAATAATGTATGCTTCAAAGTTACAAACATTTCTTGTATCCCGTATTTGAACATGTAAACAAACAGCTCAGCTCCAGTCTCCATCTACCAAGAATTTTTAAAACACATAATACCTTTCAACGCTCACCTTCGAATGACTGAGACCCCACAAAGTTTCTTGCAGAAATCAACACCGCTATACACAGAACCTGGTTTGGGAAAGATAAGAAATTAAAATTATGTGCATGCAATCGAGCAGTAAATAACACACAAAGCATTAGGTTTTCACTTTGATTTCCACAAGGACCAAACAATCTTTCTAGAACCATACGACAGAGATGTCAAAGGATCTGAACAACGAGTTGGTCCAGATTTTCAGACACCATGACTATCTTAGATTAAAAATTATAATGTATATTTACAGCTCTAGCATTCTCCTCTTATACCTGTTGGAGTAACTACTTGTTTCTCAGTGAATGGCAAATGGCCAAGACCATGCTCCACAACCTGAAATAAAGCCATCAGCAATTGAAATAACAAGGATTGGAAGCTGAGTGACGTCGAAAGGGAAGACACAAGTTAAAAGAATACCAAACGAATGAGGCGATCTGAGTAAAACACAAAGTCATGTTTTGATATGTCCTTCTCTCGAATAAGTGTATGCATGCCTCTTATCTGCAGTTATGATCTTAGAGTGAGAAAATGGTTTTCAGTCTTAACGTCTGAATCAAGCATCAAACAGCTGGAAAGTCAGAAAATTACCTGAAATGTTGACTGGATAACAAAAACATTTGGGTAGATTTTGCAGAGATCATGTAGCCCAAGTTTTGTGTGGATATGTTGTACAATCAAATCAACTGCGACGTGATTGTCACCTCCTCGGGGAATGATCACATCGGCATATTTCTTTGAGGGGAGCACAAAATCATCAAAGGCGGGCTTCACAAACTTTGCATACTGCAAATGAACATAACACCCTCAGAACAAGAGAACTTGAAAAATAAAGGAAGCTTAGACAATAACACTGTTATATAGAAGAACAGTTCAAAAAGTGGGAATTAAAGAGGCCAGAGCCACTCGCAAAACAGGAGGAACATTGAGTTGTTCAGCATTGGGAAAAAACCCATAAGAGTTGCTAGTTCCTGGTCTCGTATTCACATGTTTAGAGCACTAACTTAGATAGGTGAACCTTGCTGAAAAATTTTGCACCAAAACCTGAAACAAAGACTAACCTGTTCAAGCACAGAATCAACATCCCTACCCCTCTCAACCGTGTCACGCCTGATTCTGCGAGCAAGCCTCACATCAGCATCTGGAACCAATTAATAGCTAAGATGAGGACTTTTAACTTCACTGAGGATTATAAACAATTCAAATAGATTCAAACTAGGTAACTATACAGCTGCATTCAATTGCCTTTAATGTCAACAAGTGAGAAAATGTCAAAAGTGAAATAACCTATCAAGGCATCATCAGCTACAATATAAAGTTGTCACTATATCATTTAGAGTTCTCCAGAACAATATACTGCAGCTAGTTATCTTGGAGTTAAGGTGGTGACCTGTGTCAACGAAGATCTTCATATTCATCAGATCCCGAACTCTTGAGTCATGGAAAACTAGAATCCCTTCCAATATTATGACATCACAAGCATTAACCTGAAAAAAGTCCCCACTGATTGATTTAACAAACGATAATCCTCATCAACTCAAGGCCTGAAATAGACTGAAATTGATGAAAATATGGGTATCTAGTTGAAACAATGAACATTGCAAAAGTTAATATTACCAAACGCTAAAACCATAAAACCGCAGAAAGAAACCATATAAGGAGGTCAAACAAAGAGAGACACATCTTATAGACAATAGCCACATAAAAGTATGCACCTGACGAAAAGCATCTGATTTACGTTGATGGGTCTTGAAGTCGTAAATTGGAATTTGATAAGGTTGCCCACTCTTGAGTATATCAACGCAATGCAAAAGCTGCTCAGTGTCAAAGGCGTCTGGAGAAATCGAAAATACCAACATTCAATACCATACCAGTGTTCCTAAAAACAAAAGAACAATCAGTGAGAAATCCAAGGAAGAACCAGTAAGAAAATCTACCAGGATGATCAAAATTGTATTCTTGCACATGCTTCATTTCTTCAGATGTCAAACCACGGTAAAAGGAATCCTAATCAACAAAACCGCATCAGAGTACCACAGAAAAGAGGGGAATCTCAGGAAACAGTACAATCATATTTCCAAGCTTGTGAATGATACATGAGACGGATTCAGAACCTAACCTGGTTAACTAGAACAATGCGATGATCATGAAGTTGCTGGATTATCATGTCACATACCGTGGTCTTACCAGAAGCGGTACCACCAGTAACTCCTACAGGATTCAAAAGAGAAAAAACAAGATTAAGCCCCAGAAATTGATATCATCATATATCTCTAATCTTGTTCAAGTAAATCAAAAGAAAAAGAAAAAAGATTAAGCCCTAGAAACTGATATCGATCCAGATATCTGTACTCTTGTTCAAGTAATTAATCTTGTAAGCACAAATGCAATCGGGAATTTCGTATAAGCTAAAACCCTAAGATAAAACGAAGAATTATACTCGATGATCGGAATTCGAGAGGGTTTGACTACGAAATTAAGCAAGAAGGGAGAATCGAAAATCACCGATAACGAAGGGCTGAGTATGCGCGGCGGGATCGGCGGTATCGAAAGAAGATGAAACGCCGGAACGGAAGTGAGAAGGAGAAGAGTTTGAAGATTTCGACGGGGAAGAAAGAAGACCGTCGAGGCGAAGACCGGAGAAGTGAGGCCCCGATGCCTTCTCCATGACATAGTCAATCGAAGTCGAATCTTCCGGCATTGGATTCTCGGCGAGTGAAAAATTCCGATTTGGTCTCCGGAGAAGAAAAACGATTGGGTTGACGATTTAGGGAAAACAAAAACAAAAAATCCGTAGTGATCAGTGTTGACGATTCTGCACAATTTAGCAACCCCACTTGTCCCTCGCTCCCTCCGTCTTTTTTAAATATTTGTTGGCTGAAAACTTGAAGGAAAATTACTAAATTAAAAATATTTTAATGGAGAATCTCAAAAATACAACTTTTTAATTAGTAGTAGTTTTTTCAACATTCAACTTTTTAATTACTTATGCAACTTTTTAATTACTTGTATAACTCATGTTGTATTAAATAAAACTAATATAAAACTATTATATTTAGTCGATGCACCGAGCTAAACTTTCTTACAAAATAATTTAAAAACAAAAGTTACCAGATGTGGAAGTCTAGTGATTTTTCATATATTAAAAAAAAAGCTTAATTTTATTGAAATGAGTGGTTGGCGTTTTTAAAATGATACTATTATTAATGGCTGATTTCGGATATTGATATAAAAAAAATATAGACTTAAAATCTGAAATTTCCTTAGTTTTTTAGTTATACATAAATTATTAACAATGTTGACATAGAAATAATTACTAATTGGCATATGAGAAGGCGGAATAAGGAATATTCCAACCGGACCAATCAAGTGGACAAGAAGGTTAGGAGAAAAAAAGAATATAGTATAGAATAAGATCAAATATGTAATATCCAAATTACATAATTAATGATACAGAGAATACAACAAATACAAATTCGTAATTCCAAAATTTATTTATTTTTCTCCCTCCAAAATATACTCACTCAATGGCCTAAGTTCTCAGAAAGCCGAAACAAGACTAGTGACCACCAACGATCCAACAACCAAAATATATCCAATGGAGGCACGT